GGCAGCAGTGGTCGCTGGCAGACACCGACACTCCACAGGCAGTGCTGACTCCGGGCTTGCTGTCACCCCGGCTGTACCTTTCCTGTTGACTTGACTCCTCTCAAGACAAAAACGTAGACCGGCACTCAGCAGGCCAGCAGACACAGGGTCACCTCCCAGCTGAGGGTCCCCGGAACCTTCAGGCCCCGGAGACCCTCAAGACTTTGTTCTTGGGGGAGGGAATGCCAATGAGGGCTGTGCCAGCAAAGGGCCAGGAGACTGCTGGTGGTCCTGGGGTGGCGCCCCAGCCCCCCCCCCCCCCCCCCCCCCCCCCTCCCCCCCCCCCCACCGCCGCCCTAGTCCTTCCGGCCAGCCGGTCTCCCCCATGCACCTGGCCAGCCCGGGCCAAGCCTGCAGCCTGAAGTCGCTGCAGTCTTTGGCCCCGGAGCCTTGGAGCCCCTGGCGGCACGGCTCCATGCCGTCCCCAGCGGGGCCAGCAGCAGCCCCCCGCTTCCCTCCCCAGGCGGGGAGGCACCGCCCGCTCTGAATCCCTGGCCTCATCCCCGCAGGGCTGTGCCCCGACTCACGCACGCGTGCACACGAACACACATGCAGACTCGAGCTACATGTGGGAGACCAGAGGGCTGGCCAGGCCTGGCCCAGAGGTGCCCGACTCCCTTGCAGAACTCGATGACAGGGACCTGTGCTCAGCAGGCTGGTCACACGTGAAGTTGGCCAGGCTGGCACTGACACAGACTTCGAAGTGCACGGGGCTCGCCTGGGGTTTGCAGGCTTGGCAGGGAAACTTACGTGCCCAAAGGCCTTAGGAAGTGGGGCGGGGCTCTGTTTGCACATGCGCCCTGGGGAGCTCCTGCCACACAACGGGCAGGAGCGTCACCTAGAGGCCGCAAGGCTAAGCCGCTTACGGGGAGCCTGGGCCCGAGGTAGGACGGTTAAACGGACCGGAAGATGTGGGTGTGTGTTTGCGCAGGCTCATTGGGGTTACACAGCGCTCTGCGGTGTGGAGCTTGGTAAGGGGCCGACCATTGGCTGGAGAGCCTGCAGGCTCTGTTGGTGGGAACCAATGAAGAGTCAGGAGGCGTTACCAGCGGTCTGCGCAGGCGCTCTGGGAATCCCCGCCTGAGGGGCCGTTAGCCAGTTGGTTTTGTGAGGGACCGTTTTTTCCTTTCCCCGCTCGTAGGGAGGGTGGAAGCGGTTCTAGATGGAGTCTGAGGCAGATGGTGAAGGAGCCATGAGGGCAGCAGACGAAGGCGTAGGTGCCGCGGCCGTTGCAGTGGGAGCAGCACGTGGTGGCCAGGGTGACGCCGGTGACCCAGTTGATCCTGGCAACCCTGGAAACCCTGGCAACCCTGGCGTCGCAGGAGAGGCAGGTGGTGCTGTCAGTGGCCTTGTGCAGATCCAGTGGGCAGCCCACGCAGCAGGGCCACGTAGAAACGCAGCACCCGGGGCCGGAGGTCCGGGTCCAGAAGCGCTACAGTGGTATCCTTTTGCAAGAGCCCCAGTGGGCCGGGCGGCCAGGGGCTGGGCTGGAGGTGGTTTGTGGGGAGGGGCTGCAGGCGGTGGGGCCTGAAGTGTAGAAGGAGGGAACTCTGGGCGGCTGGAGGGTATGGGCCAAGGGTGGTCTGGGCTGACGGGATGGTGGTGGGGCAAACCAACCTGAGGGAAACCAGAGGGTAGGGGTGGTGATGTCCAGGGTGCCCTCAGTGTATAGGGTGGGAGGTTGTGGACGCCCTAAGGGGTGGTCTGGCGGGGAAGCCAGGGGTGTGGGGGGGTGAAGGCGGGTCTCAGTGAGGAGGAAGCCTGAGGCACAGGCGAAATCAGTAGTGTGGGTGGTGCCTTAACCATATCTCCTCCAGCACCCTTACTGTGCATTTCCCATCGCCCATGGACGCGGAGGTCGCCCACCAGTTGCTGAGTGTATATTTTCTAGTCCCAGAGCCCATTCAGAAGGAGCTCATTGTGGAGGGCCGCGTCCTGGTCATGTGGGTTCTAGAGGGGTCTAGGGAGGGGCTGGTGGCAGGTGGCCAGAGCCAGGCTCAGGCCAGGTGGAGCTGTAAGGGAGGGTTAAGCCTAAAGAAGAAGTGTGCTGCTCTGGGATTGTCGGTGTGGGGGGACAGGGCGGGACGTGTGCCTCCCCAAACTTGAATTTTATTTTTCCCTCCCTTTTAGCCGATTCACTGCTGAAGACTTTGGCCAACTCCGAAGTTCCATCATGTCCTGTGTGAACCAGCTTTCTTGGGTGGTTCACATCTTGCAGTACATTTTTACCCAGTTTTTCGTTTAGCGTCAGCAGGCCCCAGGGCGCTAACCCTAACTTATGTGCTGTGTCCTTGGCGTCCTTCCCTAGGGCCTTGCTTTCTTCAGTGGTCACCACTTGTTGCGGCCTCGTGTTTTGCCTGTACTGGCCCTTGGGCGCTCAGGGTCCACGTATTTTGTTTGCTGATTAAATGTTAACTGCAGAAAATACAACTGACCTGCTGTTCTGTGTCTGAGTTTAGTTTTAGCTTCTGCACCTCCTAATATTCTTGCATTTGTGCTCAGGTTGGAGGGGAGGTCTGGGATTCAGCTATTCAAGTAGCGCACCTAATTGAAGACAATGTCAGAAGTGGAACAAAAAGAAAATTGTGTCCTGCCATTCAATGTTAATTTTGGAATATTTTCTTAGTTCTATAGTTACATTTTTATATTAACGTATAACGCCAGAATACTAAGTAAGAGACTGTGGCTTACCGACCTTGTTTCACGTCTGCAAAGAAAAGTGCTGGGGCAGTTGGTTAAGTGTTTGGGGTGAGGTGGTAAGCTCCCTCTAAAGCAGCTTGTATTCTGCAACCTTGATAAACTCACCAGTTGATAGTAATAGCTCTTTTTATAAATCCCATGGGCGTTTCTACATATACAGTCATTTTGTCTGTAAATAAAGGCACATTTACATCTTCCTTTCCAATCGATGCATTTTAACTGATTTCTGTCATAACGTTTATATGTTCATGCTTCTTTGCATGCCCGGTAAGTTTAGATTGGATGCTAGGCGTTATAAGATTTCCCTTGGGTGCTGGATGTGTTTATATTCCTGAACTTATTCTTAAGCTTTGTTCTGGGATCCTATTAAGTGACTTGGAAACAGTTTGAACCTCTTGAATTTAGCGGGGTTTTTTTTGTATTTTTTTTTTGCGGTACGCGGGCCTCTCACTGTTGTGGCCTCTCCCGTTGCAGAGCACAAACTCTGGACGCGCAGGCCAAGCGGCCATGGCTCACGGGGCCAGCCGCTCCGAGGCATGTGGTATCCTCCCGGACCGCGGCACGAACCCGTGTCCCCTGCATCGGCAGGCGGACTCTCAACCAGTGCACCACCAGGGAAGCCCCTGAGTCTTAGATTTATAAGATTTGCTTTCTGGGACCAGAGCAGCTCTCACTGTAGGATTAATACATTTTAACATCTTTTTTGAAGTATAATTGCTTTACAATGGTGTTTTAGTTTCTGCTTTATAACCAAGTGAATCAGTTATACATATACATATGTTCCCATATCTCTTCCCTCTTGCGTCCCCCTCCATCCCACCCTCCCTATCCCACCCCTCTAGGTGGTCACAAAGCACTGAGCTGATCTCCCTGTGCTATGCGGCTGCTTCCCACTAGGTATCTGTTTTACGTTTCGTAGTGTATACATGTGCATGCCACTCTCTCCCATTATCACAGCTTACCCTTCCCCCTTCCCGTATCCTCAAGTCCATTTTATAGTAGGTCTGTGTCTTTATTCCCGTCTTACCCCTAGGTACTTCATGACCTGTTTTTTTTTTCTAAGATTCCATATATATGTGTTAGCATACTGTATTTGTTTTTCTCTTTCTGACTTACTTCACTCTGTATGACAGAGTCTAGGTCCATCCACCTCACTACAAATAACTCAGTTTCGTTTCTTTTTATGGCTGAGTAATATTCCATTGTATATATGTGCCACATCTTCTTTGGATTAATTTAATTAACTGAAATCGTCTGTGTTTGAGAAGGCTATAGTTAGAAACAAAGACTCATACACTATCAGAGTGGTGGTAGAATCTATCTGGACACTTGATTGGCATTTCCTCTTAAATATTAAGATATGCATATCCTTTGACCCACCTTTGGGAATCTATCACAGAAAAACTCTTGTGTATGTGAACAAGGAAGCATTGGCCATAGTGTTAATTACAGCATTGTTTGTCATTGGAAAAATCGGTAGAATGTACATCAACAGGGGAAACGTTCAGTAAATCATAGCAAGTCCGTCCTGGTGGAGTACCACACGGCAGTCAGAGCAAAGTCGATAACTGGGAACTAATATGGAAAGAGATGAAAACAAATTGCAGAATTCTGGGTATGGCATATTCCTGTTTTTGAATACATTCTGACCATATGGCCATGTGGGGAAAGGCAGAGTCACCACCTGGAATGAGCCACCCTGCTTTCAATGTCATCACTGGGCATTAGGGAAGAAACCTTTCACTATTTAGATTTTAGATTTCCAAGTTGTTTAAATATTTTCCTAAGGAATTATTAGTTTTGGAATGGTTTTCCTTTGGAAAACAATAGTCTGCTCCATTATTTTCCCTTTAAAAGCACTTACTTAACAAACTTAAATTCAGCAAAGGTCTGTGTGGGAGGATTAGGCAGAGGACACCCCCCTGAAGTGGATGTGGAAGCCCAGAGTCAGGGTATGGGAGCTGATGGGAGGGCCAGTAACAGGGCACATGCTCTATTACGAGAAGAATGTTTCGTAGTCTTGGTTTTTTTAAAAAAACCATTAGAAATGGATTTTCAATTTGATGAAAAGTCTGCACCACTGTAGAGGACATCTATGGGTTTTGTCACCCAGCATCCGTGTCCCTTCTCTTGGTACTGGTCTCCTCATGTCACCGTAGAAAATCTCCCGTTTCCTTTTCTCTCGGCCATTATGGTTCTGATAGAGTTGACGTCACCTCTGATTCCAGGTGTGGGCATGTGGCTCAGTCCTGGCCAATCGGAGCACTGCTTTCCTCCGGCCGCGGTGATCCCATCCAACTAGTTACACTTTTGGGGCTGCAGGGGCGGCAGGCTGGCAATGGACAGAGGGGAAGCTAGAGCAAGAAGACAGATCTCAGAGAACCGAGTCCTGGATCCAGCCATGCCCGAAGACAGGAACTTCCTGTGTACATTTCAGTTACATAGACCCAGAAATTCTCCTTTTGGCTTAAGCCAATGTGGATATTTTTGATTGTTTCTGTTCAACTCGGTTCCAAGCCCTCCAAGGGGCTCCCTGTCAGAGTTGAAAACAAAGCCTTACGGTGGCCTGAAAAGTCCTACGTGATGCAGCCTGTATCCTCTCTGGCTTCGTCCCTTCCCCTTCCCCTTTCCCCTTGCGTATTTTTTTTTACATCTTATTGGAGTATAATTGCTTTACAATGGTGTGTTAGTTTCTGCTGTATCACAAAGTGAATCAGTTATACATATACATATGTTCCCATATCTCTTCCCTCTTGTGACTCCCTCCCTCCCGCCGGCACGCTGTCTTATTGTGTGTCTGTTCACACAGTTGTCCCCACAACCTGACAGGGAGCCCCTGAGCGAGGGATGTGTCCAGGTTCCCGCTGGGTCCCCGAGGGCAGACAGGCAGGTGAGAGAGACAGACCGAGAAGGTCAAAAGCTGACTCAGAGCCAGAACCGAGAGGAACTGGAAGGGAGGGAAGGCGAGCCAGGGATGCCCCCCACCACAGGGAAGGGGCAGCCGCTGCCGGGGCCACTCCACCTCCTCTCGGGAGGGAAGGCTGCCGGGCCTGGAGGCGCAGGATGGGGAGGACTCTCCAGCCAGGGGGTAGGGATCAAGTGGCCCAGACTGAAGTCCCTGCCCCTCCTCGGGCTCTGGCCCTGGTGCCGTCTCCTCCCCTGGCAGCAGTGGTCGCTGGCAGACAGCTACACCACCCCAGGCAGTGCTGCCCACAGCCCTGCCGTCACCCCGGCTGTACCTTTCCTGTTGTCTTGACCCCCTTCCAGACACAGAAGTAGACCATCACCCAGCAGGCCAGCAGACACAGGGTCACCTCCCAGCTGAGGGTCCCCGGAACCTCCAGGCCCCCGGAGAGCCGCAAGACTTTGTTCCTGGGGGAGGGAAATCCCATGAGGGCTGTGCCACCAAACGGCCAGGAAACTGCGGGTTGTCCTGGGGTGGGGCCACCCCCCCAGGGTGGCCGCCTCTCCCCCCACCTCACTGCCGCCACAGCCCTTACATCCAGCCCGTCTCCCCATGCACCTGGCCGGCCCGGGCCACGCCTGCAGCCTGGTGTCGCTGCAGTCTGTGTCCCCAGAGCCTTGGAGCCCCTGGTGGCCCGGCCCCACGCCGTCCCCAGCAGACCTAGTAGCAGACCCCGCTTCCCTCCCCAGGTGGGCAGGCACTGCCCGCTATGCATCCCTGGCATCCTACGGACCCCAGGGTCGGGCCCTGACACAAGCACTCGTGCCCATGCACACACATGCAGACTCGAGCTACGTGTGGGAGACCAGAGGCCTGGCCGGGCCTGGCCCAGAGGTGCCCGACTCCCTTGCAGAACTCGATGACAGGGACCTGCTTTCAGCAGGCTGGTCACACGGAGGGTGGCTCAGCTGGCCCCAGCCCAGACTTTGAGGTGCATGTGGCTCGTCTGGGGTTTGCCGGTTTGCTGGCAAGCAGTCACGTGCCCAGAGGCCTCGCAAGCGTGACATCCGGGGAATTGCGGCAGGGCCTGTTTGCGTAGGCGCCCTGGGAGCCCCAGTGACGTCAGGCGCCGAGGGGCGGAGCTTCC